ATTGTCCTGTTGGAATGTTAACCCAGGGCCATGACGTTGCAGAAAAGGAATTGCCACAGGTCGAAGAATCTGATCCCTGTAGCCCACACCAGTTAAGTTGCCCTGAACAATCACCAAAGGAGTTCTTTGGCGTGCTGTTATTCCACCCCAAATCATCACAGAACCACCTCTCCAAGACACAGGCCTGTGCATAACGTTCTCCCACGCGTATATAGGCACGTTGACGTCCATCACTATGGGAAATGTTAAAATGTCATCTGTAAAAACAACATTTCTCCACCAAAACAAGGGTCTGCGGACATGATTTCGGCACCACATTCGACGAGCTTGTCGATGACGTTGTGTCAGGATAGGCCGTATGGCGGGACGTCGAGGTCTGATCCCGTGATGACGTAAACGTTGTCGAACTGTGTTGGGGTGGATACGGCGAAGACCTGGGATGGTTCGGGCAGTCATCACTGCAGTCTGAAACTTGTGGCGAAGATGGGTCACCCTTATCCATCTGTCCTGTCTTGGCGTTGTTACACGTGGACGTCCAGAATGTGGCCGATCAATGACGTCATTTGTGTTCTGGTAGTGTCTCACCAGTGCAGAAATGGTGTTCCGGTGGCAGTGGAAATGTGCAGCCACTTGTCGTTGAGACATTCCCCCACGGACCATCCCAATGGCCTCATGACGTTGTGCAGACGTGAGTCTTGGCATGCTATGCGTTTCAATAGCCGTTTAAGTTTTTGAACGATCGCAAGGGCAGGGGTTGAGTTTTCCAAAGTGACCGTATTGTGTGGCATTCATTTGCTCTGTTTCTCTTTCCCGGAATGCACGTGCAACAACGTATTCACTGACGTCACGGAACGTGGCACGTACATGCATGTTGGATACATGTCACTAATCTCTGAGTTTAAATCCTTATGTGTCTACACAGGTTTGATAAATTTAGATTTTAAATTTGTGTATGCACAGTTTCTTTATGTGCCTAGTATATATATAGCACATGTAAAGAAAAGTTTTTCAGAAATAATAGAACTAAGAGTGTCGGCCGTGTAGGGCCATTCTTACTTGTGAAGTAGGTAAGTATAAAAAATAAGAAATCACTCTGAATTTTCTATTCTTTTAACTAACTCTGCTGCACAACAAGTGCATGTTAATACCACAACACTGGGTAGGGCACTGATGATATAATGCACAGTGCAAACTCACACGACCTCTGAATAAAATGACCCATGTCAAATTACAGATACACAGGGGTACCCTCGATCTACTTGCTACAGGACAACGCCAGAGCAGGCAACCCTAGACGCCCACTGGCGCCTGGGCTTTGTGAGCTGTTAGCGCAACGCGAGTCACAGACTGCGTGAACCATCAGAGTGCGTAAACAAAATACCTTGTCACAGACTTTGTTTACTTAACATACAAAGCGCATGACAAACTTCTGATACTGGAAAGCGTCAAGTCTGGCAAGATTTCGTGATCCGACCAGTGTGTTGAGCAAAGGCTAGGGGACCCAGGGAGGACAGTCCAGAGACGTAAAGCACGAACTGGCCACAGGAAAAGATCCTCCACATCTTGAAGACTCCTCAGAGGCACAAGGGAAGAAATAAAGAATTAGCTAGGGGGATGTGACGGGAGTTGGTTCTTGGCTTTGAAATCCATGAGAAGACCCAAATGAACACCGCCATGTTCTGCGTGGCATCAATGGCTTGAATCTCAGATGATCGAGCCGCTGCTGCTAAGGCCACCAGGAACACCGTCTCCATTGTAAGATGAAGAAGAGTAGCATCTTCAAGTGGTTCGAATGGTTCACCTGCCAAATAGGTGAGAACCACTGATAACTGCCAAGATGGAGTCCGAAACGTGTTCACCTGGTCTTGTTGAGGATAGCTTTAAGCTCAGGAGCACACGTCAGAGAGGCGCCAGCGTTAGACAGCATAGAACCCACACCAGTGGTGATCATGGTGGCTTTGAAGTTTCGTTTGTTCTGGAGGAAAAGGCGAAAGTCTGCAACCTGAGCAAAAGCTGAAGAGCCTACGATCTGCCGAGACTTAGAGTTCTGGCTCCGGGTGAAGTCTCCTCTTGTGTGGGCTCCACAGAAGATCCACCCGATCCAGCAGAGGTACAGGTGGACCGCTTCTCAGTTATGTTAGTGCCACAAACCATTGGTGTGCAGGCCAGAGTGGCACTACCAGAAGGAGATTGGTGGACTGGATCTTTTGCACTACTTGAGCATGAGGCATGGGTGAGGAAAGGCGTACGCATCCAACCCATCCCAGCTGACTACAAGAGCGTCGAGATCCCATGCGTGAGGTTCCAGTACTGGAGGGATGAACATCTCCAGCTGGTTGTTGTGCCTTGTGTCGAACAGATCAATGATGGGTCGACCCCAGAGATCTGCTATCTGTCAAAAGACGGTTTGATGCAGCATCCACATCTGTGGATGGATGAAGATCTGGACGAGAGAGGGCGTCTGGTTACACCTGGAATGTGACGCGCTTTCAGTTGAATTCTGAACTTGTCCATGATGTTGAATAGACAGACGGTCAGGGTCAGTAAAGATGCTGTCTCGTTGAGCCTTGTTTGTTGATGAATGCCACGACTGTCGCTTTGTATGTTGCTTGTCTGCCAACTGAAGTTTCCAGCGATCTTAGGCTGGGATCACTGCCATAAACTCCAGGTTGTTAATGTGAAGACCTTGTTGTTCTTTCGACCACAACCCGGCTGATGTCGCCGCGTCCAAATGAGCGCCCCGCCCTTGGAAGGACACGTCCACGAAATGATGGTGATAAGCCTCAAATAGCAGCAGGGAGACTCTGCTTTGGACATTGCAATGGATGGCTGGAGCCACCATTCTTGGAACTGGTGGCAACTGTGGGGACGAGGGATCTGGTTGTCCGAGCATCAGGCATCCTCAGGCCGCCAGATCCTGAGCAGAGGTGAGAAGGCCTAATAGGCGTTGCCACTCTCTGAACCTGAGGGGATCAGGGGTTGCTAGGCGCGAAGCCTCTCTTTGGGAACTACCAGACGACCGAGGTCCGTCCGGAAGTGACCCCCAATGAAGACGAGTGACTGAGATGGAGTGAGGCCCACTGGTCCAGGTTGAAAAAGACTGATGACGCAGTCTCTTTGTCTGACAAGCAGCCATAGACACAATTGTGCCACGAATCCGTCATCGAGGTCCATTTTCAAAGGGACGCCAACCTTGTGCAGATAGTGTACAGATTCCAAATGGCAGATTTCAAATCAACAGAATGTAGAAGATTGGACTGTAAAACCAGGGAGTGATGTCGCTGGGACTTTGCACTTGTCCACAAACAACTGAAGTTGTGACACAGCCTGGAGCTGCTTGTCTGGCACTAGGGGTGCCTCTAATGGCCAAGTGGTCAATAGTGGAGATGCCTTGAGCGGAAGCTGGTACCCGAATCTAAAACGGAGAAGACGAAGGGCGTGGACAGGATCTTGGGTGCGGTGTCAGGCACCTTCCTCTTTGGCTTGGCAAATGTAATCCTGGAGGGGCGAAAAGTAGGCCTCTTAAGAGTTGCTGACACCACAATCTTCTGAGAAAGATTCTCATATCTCTTGGTCGTGAGGTCGACCCGCTGCTCCTGCTCTTACTTGACGTCCGCTATACTGACCTGGCAAAAAGCTGATCTGAAGCTGGGGATGCACAGTGAAATTCTGTCTTCAGGTGATCATTAAGCTTTGCAGTAAGTAAGTGAGGGTGGGCAATGGGAATTCTCCTCCTGACCCGAGCTGTCATTGAAGGAGCCAAGCCAGAATGAGGAAAAGTCGCTGCCGCAACATTCTTCTCCACAGTCACCACAAAGTCCACTGGGGTGTGGGTGTGGGTGTGGGTGTGGGTGGGGCTGTGGTGTGTGTCAGCATTATAGGCTCTCTGCAAAGTCTCCTCCGAAGTTCTAAGTGTGACTGGCTCCACTTGGAGAAAATATGCAGTCACCTGGGTATCCTCTGAATATGGAACACAGGGAGGAGAATCCAGATCCTCATCACCAGAAGCACGATCCGGAGAGGCGCCAAGCCATGCAAAGACGACCAACGAGAAGAGGCATACACTCATCCTCATCCTCTAAAGGGCTCCAAGGGGATTATGGGATTAAAAAAAGAACCAACAGTTGAGGTTTAGATGGCGCTGACAAGGAAGACACTGCACTGCGGTGTCCAGCTGCCACTGAAAACCTGAAAACCGTCTATCCAACTTCGCCTCTGGTGACAGGTGACGACTGGCGCTCGATGAACGGCGCCTGGCGCTAGGTGAACTCCTTTGGTCAGGTGGTGACTTTGAACGGTAGTATGTAGAACTGGACGATGGCGAGTGGTGCTGAAAGCATGAGTGGCGTCTGGCGCTACAATGTCTGGCACCAGACCTGCGCCAAACAGTTTTATAAGGTTTAGATATGATACAAGCAGATGCCAGTAAGGTAATGGGTATTATGTGCACACTTTAGTGAATGAAGCATCTTCATTAAACGTCATTCTCTGTACGTCTACTTAAATAAACTGAGGAAACGCTTCCCCATAGTCTTCATGCCATCGGTGAATCTACGAAGTGTTGATTCATCGTCTTTCTGTATGTTTTCCCTTTCAGCTTTTCTTACTTGTTGTGCCCTGAAATCACATTCTGCTTGAAACCGGTCGTCTGTGACTTCATCTTCTACTCTCTTCCTTTCATCAAGTACGCTCTTGACCTCCTAGTTGGTGTTGAATTTGCATTCTCTCCCCACCTTCAGCCGTTTGCATCTGCTGTACAAGCTTGCCCTTCTTTGCCTTCATCTCCATTTCCTTCCGTACAAGCTCCTCCATGGCACTCTCATTCAACTACCGAACCCTTTCTGACATGCTTATCCCGCTCTTCCTTCAGTTTCAGTTTAAGATCTTCCATTTGTTTCACATTGGCTTCGTGGAGCATCTCATAATGCTCGCTCTCCTTCTTGATCTCTTCACGCAGTTCTTCCGCAATTTCCCTTCTCATCTCTTGTTCTTTCTCAGCTCTATCTCTCAGGATCCTCTCTTGTATAATTTCCTCTGCCTCTTGAAACATCTTCGATGTGAAATGCTTCCTTCCATTCTTTGATGCGTTCTAAAAGGCATTTTACATCAGCTTCTTTTTCAGATGCGTCGCCTCTGTTGTTTAAGGTGACATATCCGCTACCAGTATTACTTAGAATTTGCTTTAATTTGTCTGGAGCGCCTTGAATGTGTTCCTCAACTGTTTTAGGTTTAATTTGATCTCTTCCAGTAAAGACAATGACCATGTACTTGAGCACATGTTCCCCAAACATGTCGTCAATTTCGTCAAAAACCTTTCCTTCTTCTTTGGTGAACCTGTTGGTTAAGGATGAAACCAACAAGAAGACATGTGGTCCTGGAGCCGAAAGTGCAATACATTTCTTAACTTCCGTATCAATAACCTCCTTCTTTGTATTGGTGTCAAATAACCCGGGAGTATCAACAATCTGGATGGTCTTGCCAAACACCTCGAGATGAATAAACTGGCATTTTTCGGTAACCGAGGACATAGATAATTTTGAGTCAAAAACCTTCTCATTTAGTATTGTGTTTGCTGTTGCACTCTTTCCCGCTCCAGTTTTACCTAGCAGTACGAGTCTCAATTCGCCCAATTCTGTATTATATTATATATACACGTTTATACCAGATATAATTGATTGCTTATGGCTAATAAACATGATATATCCTTTAGTTCGGGTCATGACAGAACTTCACTATCCAGAAATTTCAGACATGAATTTGCATGTACCTGTTCCATACAACGTTGGTCAAATCTTTTGAAAACAAAAATGAATGACCAAAGTATGCGTATATATAAACATAAAGCCAATGTACTATGAATCTATGTAACACACATGAGACACAGCTAAGCACATGAATCCTCTTTGAGGTCCTAGACCAGTAGACTTACCTATTCCTTGTCGTGAGGGTTTTGGAACAGGGTTGACATGGGCGATCTTCTGTCTTGGTTTACTGTAGACAGGGGGTTTAGAAGCCGGATCATTCGGGGTAGAACATGAAACTTTTGACATCCCTTGTGCACCTTCAAAAACGAAAAGAAACAAATTTTACATGTTCATAAAATCAATGACAAACACGATAATAATCTGGTTCCAATATTCAATGTATTGCCACCCAGTGCCAAAATATGGTTTAATTAACAACAAATAATAACGTGTTTCTCTGTTACGACAAACGGGGTAACAAAGCATAACTCTTTGATTTAAAGATGTACGTTGCTATAACCAAGGAAGTAAATTATTCGGGTTAACCTTCAGATCTAAATGTGGAAACTGTCTTATCTATAACAAACATGATTTGCTTTTTATATACGTTGCCCTAATATTGCAACAAAAATAGACAATTAAAACCATAATCAGCTAAGAGTGAATTCATACCTTCTGCAACAGACCCCGTCCCCATGAATCTGGATATTCCGCATCTTTGGCAAGTGTCATGGGAGGCATCGTTGTCATGGAAACAGGTTGAACATACCCACACTGAAATATATGGATGATTTTCATGAAGAGAACGCACGATGTGAATATCTTAGGTGACTGTTGTTACAATATCGATAAGGGTGTAATGTTCAAAATGATACCAAAGTATTTATGACGAGCATACACTATGCATTAGCTCAAACTTGAAGAAAATTACAAAAGCATGAACTCAAAATTGTAAAAACATCCTTTTCTTAATGGGATAATAATTAACATATGATTTGTGTGGCACTTTAAACGTTGCCGTACCAATGACGTATTTAATTTTTCTGTCCTTATTTTAGTCTTAATTACTAGTCTGATCAATCATTTTTTACAATGTAGACATTGTGTCTGCACACTATCAAAGGTCGGATTGAAATGATTCAGAAAACAAAATACAACAGTAATCTCTTTCTGTTTTGGAATGGTCTATTAGAAACACATAAAGGGAAATCGACAGAGTTCTCTCCCCTTAAAGCTGTAACGTTCCGCGCTTGTTTTCGAAACCAAACACCACAGTTGACGCAAAACATTTTTTATGGATAACAACCAAATATTTCATTGTATCGTAGTGTTAGGGTTCTATCATCAGAATAACCATGTTGATTTCATGAATGTTATGCTGACATAAGACTTGAGTAATCTACAAACATAACACTATAGTCACCACCCTGACCATATTTGCGGACGTCATACCATACCTCGATACCATCACTCAAAGAGACCAATGACACTGATATTATGAAAAATCTGTCAGTTCTTATAATAATCATTACTTCTGGGTACAGTATAAAAATTATTTTCCACGCTTAATTGACAACATTTTCTCAGCAACGTACAGATTCAAGTGCATTTTTAGGCTGATTGCAATCCGGGATTCGACCCCACAATCTCAGAGTGAGGTATCAAATCTCCAGCTCACAAAGTCAGCAGTCTAACCCACAAAAGCACAGCGGATCCCAAAACAATGGAAGTCTTGACGACTGGAAGTCCTCATTACGTCCTTTGTGTGCCTGTCCTCACATACAAATACACAGGTAAAAACTGTTTTCGTAATGTCTATTGCTATAATTACTTCACATGTGTTTCCTAGTTTGCTGCTACTGTTCAAATGGTACAAGAAACAACTCTATTTATGAAGATGGGGATACTCGTAATTAACTTAAACTTTCCAAAACTTGAATGGATATTTGTGTCCAGGAACAGTTGCATGATGATAATGAACGAATTGGCAACCCATTTCGGATGTATGACAGAAAATGATAAGATTCCCAACAATCTTGAAGGACGATAGGCATAAGGTGTGAATTTAAACGTTTTTTAATTAGTAGTGCGTAAAGCTACCACGGTTATAAACATTCATTACATCAACAAGGCACACTGTGTGTCATCTCACTATTGATTCTGCTGTAGGCAAGCACACTGAATGCAAGTATTGCCGTCTCCAAAAACAAGACGTCTAGCAAACGGAATAAGAGATTGTCTGCATACTGTTCATAGGACTGTCCGCTGGCCCTGATACCTGCCCAACCATTCCACCGCCTCTGGCATGCCTATGGAAGTGCAAAGTAAGCATTATGATGATTCGAATAGAACGTGGAGATGACCTACATGATATCTAATCGTTTGACCAGTTGTTGACTCCAGTTGCCTGACGAAACTGCCGTTTGAGCTTGTTTCCTTCAGCATTGGTATAGATCAATCAGTCATGTACTCTTGGGGTTGACAACAGACGCTCTGGGTGATGTCGAACCATCACCATTTTGTCAATAATGAAGCACACGACTTTATGGACAACTTCTTGTTTATTGCAAAGTGTGACGTGTCTGTGTAGATTCTCCCATCGTCTTCAAGCTAAAGGTGACTACAACTAAGTGTTGAGAAGTATACATATATAGTATATTGTGACAAACATCAGATATTAACATTAACAACAGGAAGTTATTGAATAACATTTCAGCCGTGTTATTTGTTGTTCTTACTCCCCATCTGGAGTCGTCCAATTATGAACCACTTGTTATTCAATATTACATGCTGTTGTAACAAATATTCGTATAATACTTATGCGACAGTACTATAATGCTCCAATGATAGGCATATTAAGCAGTAATCTCATTTCGATAATAGCTGCACTAATTAATCAATATGTTTTTCTTTATCAGCAGATCAAGAAAAATAGAAAATGCAGAGTAATTTCTTAATTTATATATACTAGGCGTGATTAACGAAGGGTCAAATGATATATACTAGCCACATAAAGAAACTGTGCATTGTCAAAATATTATCCCAGTTGATAAGTACGATAACAATGTCAAAGGTACATATAAACTTTAATGGAGGGATCATGAGACTATAACAAGTCGGTAGAATTTCAATTGAAAAGTCAATCACAATGACGTCACGAAGCCAAAAGCGGGACAGGGGTCAAACGACCATGTCACAAGCTCAATAACGGGTATGTCCACTATCGGCATTGAGAACAGCAGTGCATCGACGACGCATAGAGCCTATCAAACGTGTAAGGAAGGCTTGTGGGATGTCACGCAAGTTCTGTTGCAATGTCTGGCGGATGAGGAAGACGGCGTAGACGTCGATCCATCTCGTCCCAAACATGCTTTATCGGGGAGAGATCCGGTGAATTTGCAGGCCAATGCAGTAAGTCAACGTTGTGTTGTTGCAAGAAATCCATAGCAACCCTTGCCGTATGAGGGCGGGCATTGTCCTGTTGGAATGTTAACCCAGGGCCATGACAGAAAAGGAATTGCCACAGGTCGAAGAATCTAATCCCTGTAGCCCACACCAGTTAAGTTGCCCTGAACAATCACCAAAGGAGTTCTTTGGCGTGCTGTTATTCCACCCCAAATCATCACAGAACCACCACCAAAGCAATTCCTCTCCAAGACACAGGCCTGTGCATAACGTTCTCCCACGCGTCTATTCGCACGTTGATGTCCATCACTATGGGAAATGTAAAACCTGGACTCATCTGTAAAAACAACATTTCTCCACCAAAACAAGGGTCTGCGGACATGATTTCTGCACCACATTCGACGAGCTTGTCGATGACGTTGTGTCAGGATAGGCCGTATGGCGGGACGTCGAGGTCTGATCCCGTGATGACGTAAACGTTGTCGAACTGTGTTGGGGTGGATACGGCGAAGTCCTGGGATGGTTCGGGCAGTCATCACTGTAGTCTGAAACTTGTGGCGAAGATGGGTCACCCTTATCCATCTGTCCTGTCTTGGCGTTGTTACACGTGGACGTCCATGTGGCCGATCAATGACGTCATTTGTGTTCTGGTAGTGTCTCATCAGTGCAGAAATGGTGTTCCGGTGGCAGTGGAAATGTGCAGCCACTTGTCGTTGAGACATTCCCCCACGGACCATCTCAATAGCCTCATGACGTTGTGCAGACGTGAGCCTTGGCATGCTATGCGTTTCAATAGCCATTTCATTTTTTGAACGTCGCAAGGGCAGGGGTTGAGTTTTCCAAAGTGACCGTATTGTGTGGCATTCATTTGCTCTGTTTCTCTTTCCCGGAATGCACGTGCAACAACGTATTCACTGACGTCACGGAACGTGGCACGTACATGCATGTTGGATACATGTCACTAATCTCTGAGTTTAAATCCTTATGTGTCTACACAGGTTTGATAAATTTAGATTTTAAATTTGTGTATGCAGTTTCTTTATGTGCCTCGTATATATATAGCACATGTAAAGAAAAGTTTTTCAGAAATAATAGAACTGTGAGTGTCGGCCGTGTAGGACCATTCTTACTTGTGAAGTAGGTAAGTATAAAAAATAAGAAATCACTCTGAATTTTCTATTCTTTTAACTTACTCTGCTTCACAACAAGTGCATGTTAATACCACAACACTGGGTAGGGCACTGATGATATAATGCACAGTGCAAACTCACACGACCTCTGAATAAAATGACCCATGTCAAATTACAGATACACAGGGGTACCCTCGAGCTACTTGCTACAGGACAACGCCAGAGCAGGCAACCCTAGACGCCCACTGGTGCCTGGGCTATGTGAGCTGTTAGCGCAACGCGAGTCACAGACTGTGTGAACCATCAGAGTGCGTAAACAAAATACCTTGTCACAGACTTTGTTTACTTAACATACAAAGTGCATGACAAACTCTGATACTTGAAAGCGTCAAGTCTGGCAAGACTTCGTGATCCGACCAGTGTGTTGAGCAAAGGCTAGGGGACCCAGGGAGTACAGCCCATCCAGATCCTCAGGCGCAAAATGCCAAAGGTAGTGGTTGGCGAAGGTGGTGTCTCCAGCCCAGAAACAGCCTCGCATGATGTCCAACACAGAGATGTAAGCATGCATGGCCATGGTCGCCGCAACTGCTCGAACAAAATTGGGACTAAACCGAGATGGCGGTGGAAGTCCATCTTTCTCATGAGGATCGGAACCAATGCCAATGTTATTCTTCCCGATTTCCTTATCCGACTAGGAAGGAATAGTCTCCTATGAGACCCCTGCAGGGTCTGTGTGCGATCTACATAGAGACGTAAAGCACGAACTGGCCACAGGAAAAGATCCTCCACATCTTGAAGACTCCTCAGAGGCACAAGGGAAGAAATAAAGAATTAGCTAGGGGGATGTGACGGGAGTTGGTTCTTGGCTTTGAAATCCATGAGAAGACCCAAATGAACACCGCCATGACCTGCGTGGCATCAATGGCTTGAATCTCAGATGATCGAGCCGCCGCTGCTAAGGCCACCAGGAACACCGTCTCCATTGTAAGATGAAGAAGAGTAGCGTCTTCAAGTGGGTTCGAATGGTTCACCTGCCAAATAGGTGAGAACCACTGATAACTGCCAAGATGGAGTCCGAAACGTGTTCACCTGGTCTTGTTGAGGATAGCTTTAAGCTCAGGGGCACTCGTCAGAGAGGCGCCAGCTTTAGACAGCATAGAACCCACACCAGTGGTGATCATGGTGGCTTTGAAGTTTCGTTTGTTCTGGAGGAAAAGAAGAAGTCTGCAACCTGAGCAACCAAAGCCGAAGAGGCTACAATCTGCCGAGACTTAGAGTTCTGGCTCCGGGTGAAGTCTCCTCTTGTGTGGGCTCCACAGAAGATCCACCCGATCCAGCAGAGGTACAGGTGGACCGCTTCTCAGTTATGTTAGTGCCACAAACCATTGGCGTGCAGGCCAGAGTGGCATTACCAGAAGGAGATTGGTGGACTGGATCTTTTGCACTACTTGAGCATGAGGCATGGGTGAGGAAAGGCGTACGCATCCAACCCATCCCAGCTGACTACAAGAGCGTCGAGATCCCATGCGTGAGGTTCCAGTACTGGAGGGATGAACATCTCCAGCTGGTTGTTGTGCCTTGTGTCGAACAGATCAATGATGGGTCGACCCCAGAGATCTGCTATCTGTCAAAAGACGGTTTGATGCAGCATCCACTCTGTGGGTGGATGAAGATCTGGACGAGAGAGGGCGTCTGGTTACACCTGGAATGTGACGCGCTTTCAGTTGAATTCTGAACTATTCTGTGATGTCGAATAGACAGACGGTCAGGGTCAGTAAAGATGCTGTCTCATTGAGCCTTGTTTGTTGATGAATGCCGCAACCGTCGCTTTGTCAGTTGCTTGTCTGCCAACTAAAGTTTCCAGCGATCTTAGGCTGGGATCACTGCCATAAACTCCAGGTTGTTGATGTGAAGACCTTGTTGTTCTTCCGACCACAACCCGGCTGATGTCGATGCGTTCAAATGAGCACCCCGCCCTTAGAAGGACACGTCCATGAAAAGATGGTGAGTAGCCTCAAATAGCAGCAGGGAGACTCTGCTTTGGACATTGCAATGGATGGCTGGAGCCACCATTCTTGGAATTGGTGGCAACTGTGGGGGTGAGGGATCTGGTTGTCCGAGTATCAGGCATCCTCAGGTCGTCAGACCCTGAGCGGAGGTGAGAAGGCCTAATAGGCGCGAAGCCTCTCTCTGGGAACTACCAGACGACCGAGGTCCGTCCGGAAGTGACCCCCAATGAAGACGAGTGACTGAGACGGAGTGAGGCCCACTTGTCCAGGTTGAAAAAGACTGATGACGCAGTCTCTCTGTCTGACAAGCAGCCATAGATACCATTATGCCACGAATCCGTCATCGAGGTCCATCTTCAAAGGGACGCCAACCTTGTGCAGATAGCGTACAGATTCCAAATGGCAGAATGTAGAAGATTGGACTGTAAAACCCGGGAGTGATGTCGCTGGGACTTTGGACTTGTCCACAAACAACTGAAGTTGAGACACAGCCTGGAGCTGCTTGTCTGGCACTAGGGGTGCCTCTATTGGCCAAGTGGTCAATAGTGGAGATGCCTTGAGCGGAAGCTGGTACCCGAATCTAAAACGGAGAAGACGAAGGGCGTGGACAGGATCTTGGGTGCGGTGTCAGGCACCTTCCTCTTTGGCTTGGCAAATGTAATCCTGGAGGGGCGAAAAGTAGGCCTCTTAAGAGTTGCTGACACCACAATCTTCTGAGAAAAATTCTCATATCTCTTGGTCGTGAGGTCGACCCGCTGCTCCTGCTCTTACTTGACGTCCGCTATACTGACCTGGCTGATCTGAAGCTGGGGATGCACAGTGAAGTTCTGTCTTCAGGTGATCATTAAGCTTTGCAGTAAGTAAGTGAGGGTGGGCAATGGGAATTCTCCTCCTGACCCGAGCTGTCATTGAAGGAGCCAAGCCAGAATGAGGAAATCGCAGCCGCAACCTTCTTCTCCACAGTCACCACAAAGTACACTGGGGTGGGGGTGTGGGTGGGGGTGTGGCGTGTGTCAGCATTATAGGCTCTCCACAAGGTCTCCTCCGAAGTTCTAAGTGTGACTGGCTCCACTTGGAGAAAATATGCAGTCACCTGGGTATCCTCTGAATATGGAACACAGGGAGGAGAATCCAGATCCTCATCACCAGAAGCACGATCCGGAGAGGCGCCAAGCCATGCAAAGACGACCAGCGGGAAGAGGCATACACTCATCCTCATCCTCTAAAGGGCTCCAAGGGGATGATGGGATTAAAAAAAGAACAAGCAGTTGAGGTTTAGATGGCGCTGACAAGGAAGACACTGCACTGCGGTGTCCAGCTGCCACTGAAAACCTGAAAACCGTCTATCCAACTTCGCCTCTGGTGACAGGTGACGACTGACACTCGACGAACGGCGCCTGGTGCTAGGTGAACTCCTTTGGTCAGGTGGTGACCTTGAACGGTAGTATGTAGAACTGGACGATGGCGAGTGGTGCTGAAAGCATGAGTGGCGTCTGGCGCTACAATGTCTGGCACCAGATCTGCGCCAACCGTCTGATCTGAAAGGAGAACGACCTCGAGTCCTTGATCGAGAGTGGTCCCGACCAGACGACCTGCTCCCCACAAAGTGATCTGAACGACAGCGCTGCTCAGCTACCTGGCGCTGATCAGTAGACTGGCGCCCATCAGAAGACTGGTGCTGAGCTGAAGACTGGCGCCGATCCGAAGCTTAGCATTGATCCCAAGGCATGCGTCTAGATTGCTGTTGCTGGCGCTACTTGACCACTCTGAGGTAAGCTGCAAACTCAGGGCACTTATCCTTTTTGGTGCACATGCCGTCTAAGAAGTCAGAACACCAACTATGTGGATCCTTCCAGTTTTGGGGAGATGACAGCTGTTACACTTGGTGGTAGACACCGACAGTGTCTCCGGCTCTGAAGGTTCAAGCAATAGGTCCGCCATCTGTGACTAATCAACATGTAAACAAACTGATCAAACACGCAGCGTGACGGAAACCACGAATCTAACACCAAAATATAGTTGTGTAACAATCAAAATTGAAACACAACCTCAATGCAACACAAAATAGGCCTCATGAAAGAGTCATTACTGAAATAATATCAGAGAAAATCGTGAACACAGCCTCTAAGCAAAACACTTTGAAGAAGGACTGCGCAGTGCACACAAATGACAGATACTACTAGTGTGAAAACACTTTATTCAGTGGAACATAAAGTAGGCTTCTAGTGAACTAGAAGGAAAATGCATTTGTTGTAAAGCAGAGTAAGAATATGTTACATGTTTCTTCATGTCGTGACAAAAGGTACCACTGTTTGGATCAAAGCCTTATTTTGAGTGAAAAAATGACTCCCAAAAGCGAATCAATCTTCCAATCACCCCACTTCGTTTTGGTTTCACTCTGGTAGTATGTCCTTCGTTTTGAGCTATAAGTAAAGAAAAAACATGTTTTAATGATAAATGAGCCTACTAAACAGCAAAATGTACTTTGCAATTTCTTATTCACAGAAAGACACAAACACAGACGCACATGTATTTTACAACCACAGAAAAAATGATTGTGTTTACTGATTGTACTGTTAGAACTGAATTAGAAAATGAAGGATCACACAGAACATATTATGTTATGGTAAATTAATGACTGTAAGATTGCATTTAACACATACCACCATCTTGGACGAGCGTATCTGTAGAGATGTGTTGTTGTACTTTTGGAGGTGTAGGCTTTGGTTTTAACTTTGGCTTGGGTCCTCTTTCATGTTTGAGAGAAGCAGCTCCTGAAAATAGGGCGCATGCTACTGAGTGCAGAGAGGAATGAAGAACTCTTAAACATTGACTGAGTCAGGGGTGATGAAAAAGAAATATTCAAAAATATTTTACCTTCTCTTGAATTTGTTTTGCAGACTATGTCCCCCGATACATCCTTCTGTCTTGTGTATATTTTACTTTTTGGTTTGCTTGGCTCTGTGACACAGAAAACCAGGCAGATGTATAAAAAAAGACTTCCACTAGAAAATAATGATCACTGAAATATGTTGTTCATATATATGTAAATCATTACTCTTACCATTTAAATAGGTACACAATATCTTTATGAAAATAGCCATACCAAAACAGTATATTGTACAAAAGTGTACATACCATATCCTGTTGTAATATCTCTCCGTTGAGTGTTTAACGCTAAAATAGGGGCAGTGATGCTTTGTTCAGCCTGCCTCTGTCTTCTTATTTCATCCTCCATTTCCTGTCTCATGGTACTTTTCAACTCTTCTTTCATTTCCTTGTAGCTCTGTTCTTGTTCTTTGCGAGCCTCTTCTTCTTTCTTCTGTTGGCGCCTAGTGGCGTCCTCAAGCATGGCCACAGTATAAACCATGTTGCAGTTCTGCGTCCGGAGATCTTGTACCATGGATAGCAGCTTATGTCCACACTCTGATCTGGATTCCCACGTTCCTGTGTTGTCAAAACCAATGTATCTTCCTCCACATGCATTAAGGATTCTCTTCAACTCCGGTGTACTCTCTTGTACGTATTCCTCCAGAGTAACACCATCATAATTTAGATCATCCAATCTCGTAAAGATAAGAACAGTAAAATGGAACACATCTTCTCCAAACATTTCTCTAAGAATATCTATCATTGTCTTCTCCTCTGGTGTGAATCGACCTATTCGAATTACAAGTCCAAAGGCATCAGGGCCTGGTGTGAAGGTGTACACCGATTCTGCAAGTCTCATTTTATTTGCGTAAATATCCTGTTCTTCGGCAAATAGCCCAGGTGTTTCAATAATGGTTAAGTGAGAGTTCTGCTTTGTCACTGTGTGGACACTATTCCACCCAAACGATGATGCTCGATGTGTAATGGATTCTCCAAGAAGTGATTCTATCACGGCAGTTTTGCCACTACCATTACGGCCAAGGAGAACCATTTTCAATTGGTTGCTCATCGTCCTGCAAAAATGTAATAATAACGTCGGTTTTGTTTTATGCTTGATATGTGAGGCTCGAGGTATTTCCTGCGTAATGTTGATTTCGCAAATTATTTCTTTGTTACTGAATATGTATTGAGTGATCATATTATTAAAATTGTAATAAAGAGCAACGAGTCCAGGACAACTTACCACATGAAATCACGATGTCCCCACGTCAGTGTGAGATCTCATTGACGCACAGAAGCACGGCATAAAGGAAGGTACAGGTAAATGTGCTATACAATCTTCCGATTTGCTAGTCCATTGTATATGAGTATATATTGAGACAATTCCTACAACCAGTGGGCTGTTATTAAGTACTTACCGAATGGGATCCAACTATCCACTGCCATTTCTAGAAATTACATGGTAATACACATTTCCAGTGTGATAGCATAACCTAACTACTGCAAAATGACATCACGTTATGACACAGTGCCTCCCGCAAACATAAGCAGGACCGTAAGACATTTCCATTCATTTCTGCAAGCTCTGGTGAGTTAAGTGGTTAACCTCTTCCTGTGTATGTCTGACAGTCCTTTCAATAACTTTAGTTGAAAGGTGTCAGTTCTATTTTGGGAACAGTGTGCAGTGCAAAGAGAAAGTTTCATACCTCAAACTGCATTGATAACAACGACATAAGCGCACCAGGTTAGGTGACGGTTTGGAAATAACGCACACGTCATATGTAATGTACATAACGAATTTTACAAAAGTCCGTTTGAGTCCGCTTACCTTTCGTATCTTGAACCCTTTTTACTTGCATGTTGTGAGTATGATATGTACTAGATCTGTACCACTGCAGCAAACATGTTTTGGGTTTTAATGAACATTATACAATTGGGAGTGAACGACCTTGAGTGTATATTTAATTTTGATTATCAATTGTAAGTGTTTCAAACCTTTCCCCAGTTCAATCCAGCATAAAACTAAATAGGTTGTCCCGAGGTTGAAGGAAACGACGAAAATATAGCATTATTCACTGAAAGTAGGTCACCCTAATATTTATACCGGAACCTTGTTATCTGGGCGATACAAGCACAACGTACATGACACTAAATACTTCTGCAGAAGAAGAGCATTTTAGTAAACGTTTTTCACGAATAACATTAATGACCTTCACATGTCACTGAAGTCACTCGCATCCTAGTATCAAAGCTGCATATGTGTTTTGAAGATGGCATTGTTTTGTGACGTCACTTCGTAACATAAGAATAAAAATATAACAATAATTAATGTTTTGTAAAGATAATGAACTGATCTGCTAGACACCTTATGCACATAAGCAATATTTTTGCAATACAATGGTACCGTGCAACCATGTAATGATTCTGGGATTATCAGCTCTTGGCAAATATCTACTAACAGCGTGAGGTGAGGTGAGGGTGAGGTGTGATGAGATGAGATGAGGTGAGGGTGATGAGAGGTGAGGTGGGGTGAGGTGAGGTGAGGTGAGGTGAGGTGAGGTGAGGTGAGGTGAGGTGAGGTGAGGGTGAGGTGAGGTGAGGTGAGGTGAGGTGGGTGAGGTGAGGGAGGTGAGGTGAGGTGAGGTGAGGTGGGTGAGGTGAGGGAGGTGAGGGTGAGGTGAGGTGAGGTGAGGTGAGGTGAGGTGAGGAGGTGAGGTGAGGGTGAGGTGAGGAGTGAGGTGAGGTGAGGTGAGGTGAGGTGAGGTGAGGTGAGGTGAGGTGAGGTGAGGGTGAGGTGAGGTGAGGTGAGGTGAGGTGAGGAGGTGGTGAGGGAGAGAGGGAGGGAGGGGAGGGGAGACGAGACGAGACGAGACGTCGTACTTAAGAACATTTCGCTCATTTGAATTCGTGTGCATGTTTGACTGCTTGCAGTAGCCCAGGCCTAAGCTGGTTTAGGCCGCCTCCGTGGTGTAGTGGTTAGAGCGTTCGCCCGGAGAGCGGAAGGACGCGGGTTCGATCCCCGACCGCGTCATGCCAAAAGAGGTTAAAATGTGGTACTTGTTGGTCCCTGCCTGGCGCTCGGCATTAATGGGTACAACAAGGACTGGTCGGCTCGGAGTCAGTATAATGTGTCTGAGTGGGGTATTCATGCTTCACTGCGGCACTATAAAACCAGCTTCAGTCTGGGCTAGTACAAGAAGCCGCACATACACATACACACGCATGCACATCGTCATATGAGCGAAATATTCTCAAGCACGACGTTAAACCCAATTTCACCTCACCTCACCTCACCTAAGCTGGTTTTATAGTGCTAGCTCACTGAAATACCATGCCGCAGTTTAGCATGAATATCCCACACAGACACATTATACTGACTCCGAGCCGACCAGTCCTTGTTGTACCAATTAATGCCGTGCTCCAGGCAGGGACCAATAACTACCATATTTTGACGTCTTTTGGTAAGACGCGGCCGGGGATCGAACCTGCGACCTTCCGCTCTCCGGGCGGACGCTCTAACCACTAAATCAAGGAGGCGGTCACACAGCATGGATGGAGGAGCAGGTAGATGAGCTAATAAATGCAAAATACACAAACGCAACAGACGTGATGTGATGAGATGATCTCCATGTAATAATAGATCATAACATTAAATACGGATTTTTTCAGAACTGCATAGGTACAATGCAATGATGCTATTGTAAATGACGTCAGTAGCATATGACGTCACACAGCAAACAGTTCATTGAATATATATTTACCAATTAATTGAGCTGCCTCCGATGCACCAACCAGCGGTACCAACACTCAAAAAGAAACGCATAGGTGATATTGAGAATATTGGACTCTTGCAGCTGCGGCACAAACAACACAAATATATGCTTCAGTGCCAAAACAGGGCAACTTTAACTTTTCCCCTTGTTTTAGAAGCGTTAGAAAAAATATTCGCCAAAACGTCACCAAGAAAACATGCAAAGCAAAATGCACGTGCAAGTAAGCGGAAAAACTTGCGGTATCGATCACTTAAAAAAGGCAAACGTTGTGTTTAATTTTGTCATTCGTTTTTGCCTGAAAAAGAGGAAACCCTCATGCCACGAGTGAGTGCCGCCATACGAAACATCGCCATAGGTCGCCTTGAAGCTGGGGAGTCTCCGACATTTCAACGTACATCAGAGCACCATATCTCGCCTTTGGGATCGTTTCCTACAGACAATTTTCTCTCAAGATCGCCCGAGAAGCGGCCGTACAAGAGTTACCACCTAAGCCCAGGACCGCTACATCCGGGTTGCTTATGCGTCATCGTCTTGCCACAGTCGTGGAGACTGCACAACGCATCCTTGGTTTGAGAAGAATTTCCGACCAAATTGTCATGAGTCGATTGCGTGAAGTGGGGATTTAACCAAGAAAGCCAGTTGTCGCCCGTTTTGAGACTTCCATCGGCGCAATCTCTTGCGGTGGTGTCATAGAGTCCGGAACTGAAACCTTACAAACTGAAGGCGAGTGTGATTCAGTGATGAATCAGGATTTCTTCTTCACCGGCGAGATGGAAGACATTATATATCATCGGAAAAATGCCCCAAATTGCATTCGACAGGTCGACAGAGTCAGTGTCATGGTGTGGGATGCGATATCCAGCACAAAAATATCTGGCTCAGTGGTGGCTCAGGGGAATTTGCCAGCAAATCAGTACATCAACGAAGTCCTTGCACGTCACATGCTTTCGATTATGGACCGACAGCGGAAGTTGTTCCAGCAGGACAACGGTACTTCGCATTACATCACGCGTCACGGTCCGTTACCTTGCCAATATTCTAACGTCAATGTCTTGCCATGGCCTTCTCGAACACCAGATCTAAACCCAATAGAACAACTATGGGATCAACTCGATCGACGTGGACGTCAACGTCAAAACACGCCCAAGACACTTCCACAGCTGGCCAACGAAGTGCAGAAAGAGTGGGGAAGGAATTCCGCAAGAGCGACTTTGTCGTCTTATCCAGTCTGTGCCGAGACGGTACCGAACAGTAATTGCTGCCAATGGTGGCCACACTAAGTACTGACTTTCACGCCATCTTGTGGACTCAAGTAAGCAGAAACACAACAATAAAGGCTGCTGCTGTGTTGGCGAACTCTTTGACTATAGACGTGTGAATCTTCACCATTTTACCATTGAAATTACATGAAATAATTGCTCTTAAACTAACTCAATAAATTCTTCTAAGAATGGCTTATGCGTTTCTTTTTTTGAAGAGTGTATGTGTTGAAAACACGTGAAAGATACACAGAAAAGTGACGAAGGTCTTGAGTACTCCAGCTAATGGTGCCAATATTTCACACAAGATCTTGCACATGCTATTCAGTTTTCTGATTGTTTGGTAGACATTTGTAAGAGTTTGCTTAATACGCCACATCGCTTGTCTACCTTTTATGAGATACTACCCCATTCTGTGACCTTAACAGACTGTCTTCACGCCTCCTTTACCACCTCACTCCATTGATGAAAAATGACTGCGATAGGTAGAGCAGAACCTGTTCACCATTTCCACAACCCGCTGTTGTCATTACCGATTTCAGAGATTGACTTTTATCTTGCAATGTCGTTTGGAATGATTAATTTTGTATCCAATGACTTCATATTCATACTCCTCGACTAGCTCATATGTTGCCCTATAAATCAATATCGCCTATTGATTTTAGGGATAACAACGAAACAGTTGAGCATACCTTGTTATGCAATAGTGGATGTAGAAATGTTTGGTATCAACTAACTGCACCAACTGAAATACTGTGTTTCGAACAGAGCAGGTGCAAAAGGAGTATGCGTGGTCATTTTCGTCGACATTATTACTTAATTAATAATAGTTACCTCTGTGTGACAGTTTTATGTGAACGACAGGCACGTGGCCTCTTACGTTCGTGAATTTAGATGGACGTGTTAAGTGAGTGAGTGAGTGAGTGAGTGAGTTTGGTTTTGCGCC